TAAGGGGACTTTAAGCTTAAGCTTATATAAGATGGAGCTGAGTTGATGAGCCATGAGGGCAGAGGTAGCGGTGTCATCATTAAAGAGTTCTTTGGGCATCTTTTTCCAGAGAGTGGCAAGGTAGTCATATAACAAATTCTCTATCAGGAGTCAACGCACCTTTATGCCATTAGATGTCTTCCATTGAAATACCTCCACTGAGGAGTCCTTAGGCATTAATTCCTGGTCCGGCTTCCACCAGAAAACCATGTACGCCGGCTTGTAGCATATTTTGATATTCATTTCATCCAACCTATCAGCCGCTACAAACATCTGCTGATGCAGTGGCTGGGTGAAGGTTAATCCCTAGAAAAATTTGGAGCCCGGCTCTTGGCTAAAGAGACACAGCATCATGCCAGGGCTGACAATATCATATTATAATAGCACCAAGGGGTTTCCAGCTTGCTGTGGTGGGTCCAGCTCTACGCGGAGGTCAGGGAATTTACTAATAAGAGTTGAGTAGATATAGCAGCCATATTGCGGCACAGGAGGCAAAGTGTTAATAAGCTCTGGTATGGGGGTCTTACAGTATTGTTTGATGGCAGCCTAGATGGCATTACGCACCAGGTCCGTCCCTTGTTTGTTATGGTTGTTCTGCTCATGGTGATTGGCTAGACTGAGAGCCCCGTCGACCAAAGCATCCATCCAGCGCCAGTCAACGCGGAAGAAGCGCACTGACTCTGGTGGCAGCACGCTTAAGTCCGGAAGAAGATAATGGGGAGGAATCATAGCTAGAAAGTACTGGTCTAGGACCCACTTAAGGACAGCCATCTAGTCTGCTGAGTAGGGGATCATGCTATCCGCTCTGTACTCATTATAAGGACAGTCAGACGGGGCCCCTGCACCTGTTAAAGCACTGGATATCTCCATAGTAGCATCTGTGAAATGCTCTTTGATAGACTTTTCATTCGCTATCGGGACTGCCGCTCATCGGCCTTAGTAGGACAGATCTACCGGCTCTACCTGCGGCCGATACCAGCGTTGTGAGTGGACAAGCCCGTTGTCAGTGACGTGGCTGATGCGAGGCAGCTGGTGCAGTTCAGACACTAATCAGGGTAACTGGGCTAGTAGTTCAGCATGGTAATTTACCCCATGGGGTGCTAAAGCCTGTCACTGGCAAAGCTCCATCCCCTGGTTGTAGATGTGCATCCGGACCAGACTAATACGGGTGATGAACTCCTGATCTGCGATAGCCAGCGTGCGGCCCAGTTGCCAGGTCGCCAAGTAGGTGATGTCTATTAGCCCCAGTCGTTGGTCGAGAACCTGTATGTCCTGTCCGGACGAGGACAGCGAGGACCAGCGCTGAACAGCTGAGCTGGGGACCTAGATAGGGATAAAGGGCCTGCGAAAAAAGCAAGCAGTGGCTTCACCTATCTGGGTGCGATATCGCGCCAGGCTATATCCATCATGCAGCCGGTTAATTAGACGATCCCTGAGGTCTGCGGGTGCGGAGCAATCAAGATCATCCTGGCCAATGAGTAGCAGCTGCAGCATGCAGCTGGACCGGCCCAGGGCATTGAACTGGTCGTCTAGTCTGGGAGCGTCAGACGGAAGGTAAGTATAGGTCTAGTTATGCAGGCTAGAGAGAGCAATGAAGTGAATGTTACTGCCCTTTAAGGACATCTATTCCACACTGTGAATGGAGATGAGATGCGCGATGCACTTAGTGGGCTGTTTGACATTGATAGGGCCAGTTTGGTGAGAAATAATCACGCTAAATGAGGCCCGGTCATTGTAATCTGCTGCCAGTGAGGCCCTCGCCATGCCGTTGGTATTAATATCTCAACGATGTGTGAGGAACCGGTATGGCCGCACATTAGGGTGTGTTGCAGCTATAGACTCTTCCTTAGTATTGTCTTGCGAGAACAGCGCCGCGAACAGGGCAGTTAGCATAAAAATTACATTAGTGGACACGTCCTTGGAGCATGTGGTGATAGGACTTTTAGTCTATTACAGCTTGCTGATATCGTTCACCTGCATGTGCACGGCGAACATGGAAGTCTGCGTAGCACCATCTAGATTAAATCTTTGGATGTCTTGGAATAGGCTGTGATCTCCCTTGAGATCAGTGGGATCTAGTCGCAGTTCCTCTGTGGTAAACACTATGACTGCTAGCCAGGGTACGTGATTACAGTTATTCTTATAATCTGGCTCATTAGTGATACTGCTAGCCTTCCATTCCCATGGCAAGGTGGCTGTCCTAAGCATGACATGTGGCAGACATTCTGCTTGTTCCTCATGGCCTGCTGGTGGGTAGACAGAGTAGACTTCGCCTTCTGGAAGCAGGAATTCTGGGCTGTTGACATAGAATATTTAGCACACAGAGAGGCTTTTTGTTGTGGATTTGGCCTCCACTACCTGCTTAATATTGATGCTATGCTTGCCTCCTGGAAGTCCAGGCATGAGAAAGGCATGCAGCTGTTCCTCACCCGGTTGGAGGCCTGAGATGGTTTCCACATGCGCCTGTTGGTAGCGGCGGACATGGTAAAAGATGAGGTGTTAGGGACTATCTCTATATAGTATTTTATATCTCTTCTCTTTCTTTTTGCTTTCTGCGGGGGAGGAGATAGATATAAGATACTAAGTAACATCCTAGTAGATGAGAGATTAAAGCTCCTTAAGGGGCGGGAGACCATTATCTTAATAGAATAGGCAGAATCAGTCTGTGAGAAAGGGGATAAATGAAGACTAGAAAAGTAATAAATAAATATACAGAAATAAGGGCTAATCAAGTAACTATTAGGCAAAAGTACATTCATCCGCCCTGCCCTCTTCCACACCCATAAGGATCATATTAGCAGTAGCCACTCCCCTCCCCCTTTAGATGCGGAATGCGCCCAACACCCCTAGGTTCAGCCATTGCCTAGGACATGTGCTACCATGGCTCTAAGCAGGTCAAGGACGCACTACCTGAAATTTCATTGCAATGGTTATATTTGCGAAGCTCAATGATCTCACGACCTCTAAGGTCATGATGTAATTATACTTGACCACTACATACTTAAGCTGGACAAATCAGGACGTAGCTGACCTTTCATCAAGGGAACAGAGCTTAACCCTGAAGATCCCTAACTATATATTTCAGGCCTAGTACAGAAGGACACTGGAAAAGCAAAGATAGCTCTTGTAGCTATCCTGGACCTGGTAACCAAGGATGCTGCCATTGTCTTCTACTACTCACAGAAGAAATCAAAATCAGAGAAGAATAACTACTATAATCTAGCTGTCAATCTATACTCCTTATCTGGTGAGACCAATTTGCTCTATAAAGACCTGAACACCTGTAGCAGCAATGCCACCTATTCCTCACCCTTAGCTGCTGCCAACCTTCTGAGGTTAGTGTGTATTCCCCATTTCTCCCCAAAGAAGGACAATAGGTACCTACTAACTAAATGGTAGACTTATGTCTTTGGAGTGGCCCAGGTCCCCAAATCAATCAATAGTGCCAACGCTAAGGCAGATATAGTCGTCCAGATGAGTCCCATCTTCAATCCAATCAATAACCCCAGCGAGGTAAATGTATAAGTGCTAGCAAGGGTGCCCATGGCTGCCTATAGAGTCAACTACCAAGGCACCACTACTGGCTACATCTTCTACATCAAGTATATTTCCCTAAATGTATAGATCAGCATCTGCTAACTTAATCATGGCAGCGAAATTAGCGGCAGCCGCAAGGTGGTGACCTATACCTTAGGTCATAAGGACCATAAGCCCAAGGTTGAGGGACCTAATGTGCATGAATACTTGAAGCTAGTAGCCTGCTCTATTAATGACGATCCTCATATTTTCTACCGGGACATGGACGGGCACGTGACCTGCTGTAACTAAAAGAAATATAAAAGTAAGCCCTTAGCTTTTTGCAGCATGATACGACTATAGATTTATTTTTTTTGGGGACACTGAGGCTGATGTAAAGATGTAGCTTGGCAAGTTAGTGGCACCACAGTGATAGCGGAAGACTCCCAGCTTGCTGCTATCACTGTAGGGGACGTTGTCTATCTTTACTTTCAGAGCTATAAAGGAAGGCTGCTTCGCGTCTTATATGTGGATGAGCATTGGTTAGCAGCAGAGGACGTCTCTGAATTCTCTGTTAAGGACGACTTGCACATCGCCCTAGTTCTGCATATAAGTCAGAAGACAGGTAAGACCATTATCCACCACTTCTTCTGGAGTGGGGAGAGGATCAGACATGAAAAGAACCCTGCGTAATCAAAGTAGACATGGGAGTTAGTAACAGTTATAAAATGGATCTCCTTCTTGGTTGCTGCAAATACAGTGGATTGGTGGAAACCAATTAAAGCGTCCGCGAAAGTATATAAGAACTAAAAGTAATGATTTATAGTGTTCCAATCATGTCTATTGTTCAACACCAAGTATGCCTGTAATGTATATTGAAACACACATATACAGAAAGGAGAAAGGTATCTAGTCCCAGGTTGCCCCAGATTGCGCAGACACTTGACGGCATCCAGGGGCTCAATCGTCACTGCAGCATAGTACTGTGTACAGAGGTATATCAGCATTAATAGGATGCCTGGATTTGCCAAAAATGCTAAGATGCTGCCTCTGGAACATATGGTACAAAATTTTCTACGGAGGAATCTAGGGATAGGGTATATGTATGACTATGATTAGCAGTGCACACCCAGGAAATAGTCAGGGTCAATTTCATGCCCCGAACTAGTCCTATTCTGTCATAACATCATACATGGAGACTGGTTAAAAAGGTCACCAGACTGTCCTTAGGGAGGCCCTCGAAAGGTGGAGATAACCTTACTAGCAGTGTAGGGGATGGATCTCTTTATAACATTACACTTTCTAGATATATGTATTGGGCATAAAGGCACCGTTGTAGAGTATATGCATCTTGGCCGCCAGCCTTTTGGTGTGTAAGAACCGATACTAATCACGATGCTGCTGCCTGGAACGCAATATGTGGCAGGCACCTAGAATGTGGCAGTATGCAGTATGTAGTCAGGAGTATGCACTACCAGATAATGATCCATAGTCCCTTATTCCAGTAGCAGCATATCAACCAGGGGCCCGATACAATTCCATCCTTATTATAAGCTAACCCCTGCCTAGGCTGTCGTTGACTCACTTAGGTGCAAAGAACAAGAGCATAATAGAAGATGTGACCTCCCCTCTGGCCATCCCTGTTAAACTTGACGCTTTTGTCCTCAATCCAGACAGCTATAATGGCACCGAACCTTGCCAGGCCAAGATTGCCCCGTTGCAGCAGCCCAACTATAGCTACCTGCGCATGAAGGAGTTCATGACGCGCAGTAATATACTACCCGCAGCAAATTTACAAGCTGTAGCTCCTGTGAGGACTAACTCCCGCGTCACCAACCTAGCCACCAGGGAGCTGCGCCAAAACCAGCTGGGAGTGTATCTGCACTGGATGCTACCGCGTCCCTACCAGACCAGCCAAGCAGGCATGAGACCTGCTAATTCAGATGCTAACCCACAGATGCCGTCTTTCCCAGAGTGTCCTAATCAATGGTTAGTGATTTAGAAGATAGTCAGTAACACAGAGCCATCCAATGTGATGCTCCCACCAGTCCAGGCCTGGATGGTGTATAGCGACTAGATATGGAGCATTGACAAGCTCAATAATCCACTAGACCCGCAGGTGGACGTGGCACCATATCTCAGTACAGACTCAATGGTGAATGAAGGTCAGTAACCAAGCATCAACTAGCAAGCTAAGGTTTTTATCAGCCACTACATCCCTATCATATCTGGGAACATGGCCCATCCCAATAAATATATCTCTTTAGGGGTGCTAAACTCCTCTAACTATTTATTTCCAGATTACCAGCTGCATAATGGGAATGTCTTCTCCATGTTGGACACATTCCAATCAGAAAACGGCCAGGACCATGCGACTCACGCCATCACCAACTATTATGTGCTGGGATGGCATGATGACCCCGCGCAGGATCTGCTGCAGCAGTAGCAGTGGGACAGCTCCAGTCAGGTAGATTGGTTGCATGCTCTCGCGATGTACCTCGAGAACGACATGGACCAGAGTATTAGAGAATAGCTGAAGTTAACTACAGGGGCGCATGTCCTCTGCCATGGGGCTATGTATAGAGTGTGCTGAAACGCGCGCTGGACCAATAGTAGACGGCTGACCGTCCTGGCTGACCAGGTGGCACGCGCGGTGGCAGAGCAGGTGCCGGTATTGATTAGCCCCACCCCGATGGACGCCCTACTAGCGTACGTAGCGTGCCATCCCGGGGGAATCAAACACAAGCTGGCATAACTGGGGGAGCTGCTGCGCGCCCAGAGTGATAACATGGAGGACCACCAGGCCAGCAAGGATAAGGTTCAGAGCTATAACTTTAAAAAGACGGCCAGAGGCACGCAGTATTTGCTATAGACTAACCAGGAGAACCCAGGCCAGCCTCCATCACCGCACGCCGCGAAGATGCTAGAGGAGCTTAATTAGAACCAAACACTATATAATGCCACAGCCCAGCAGCTGCAGCAGGCCCGATGGAACCTGTTCTCCATCTGGTGGCGCTACATGACTAATCTGCATCGGGGCCAGGAAGAGAAGGAAGCGGGGTATAAACAGGAAGTCAGCAAAGCTATTTCTAAAGTAGGTGGCTTGCAGGAGCTTCAGACAGCACAGATTACTAAGATCTAAATAGGCAAAGAAAAGATTAGCTGCCTAGGACTGAAACTCAAAGAGGTGATGGCCCCAGACTTTAGTCACCAGTAGGACCCAATATTATTCATGGGTAAGGTGCAGCCCGGCTAGCCAGTTAACTATCTGCAGAAGCTAAAGGTATGTCTAGACGCATAGATTGCCTGTTATTCAACGCAGCCGGTGCCCGCAGCATATGGCCTCGACTGTGTACCGTCCGAGCTACGGGATATGGCCACGCTGTTAGCGCATGAGTTTGAGCACTACGCCAGCCCTATCAGCCACTACGGTCCTCTGGACGTCCATACAGTGGAGCCACTATATTATGACAGAGGCCATGATCAGTGGAATAACACGCAGCCCTGGTTCCCGCTGTTTCTTAAGTGGGAAGCCAAGTATTTCCACATCCTATATAAGGACTAGGCTCTTCAGGAGACCTGCATGCACCTGGTGCATGATAAGCAGTTCTGCTACACAATTATCCAGGACAAGGAGCCGCTGTGGGATTAGGAGAATAATAACAGGCATAGGGTGGTAGGCAGAATCCTGCTGCTGCTGTAACTGGTATTCTCACTCCACAGCCAGGTTGAGCATCTCTTTAAGACTGTTAGCATGGAGGTGCTAGATCCTATTATTCCCAGGGCTAAGTGTAAGAAGCTTCTGAAGGATATCCGCAAGCTTCTATTCATCTCTGCTCTGTTGAGCAGATTCACCGAGCATCTTCTGACCATGGTCTCTGGCAGCCATGTTAAACCAACAGTGCGTCATCCTGGCGAATAGCTAGTTCCCTTGGAGGAGGCATATGCTGATTTATAGTAGGTCTACTTAGATGCTAACATAATACAGAAGATAGGGGTGGAAAATAACTTAATACTGTATAGCTCTCTTAAGCGACTGCCAGAGCTGCCATACCTAGTGTTCAAGCCTACCACCCACAGCCAGTTCCATCTGACCCAGCTGAATATCATCAACAAGTTCGGCCAGGCCATGGCGGCTATCAACCCCACACGGCGCGTTGAGGGACCACCATTGCTGAGCCTGTATATTAGTGAGTACTACCAACCACAGGCCTGGAAAGGTAGCTATTATCCTAATGTCATCAAGAAGCCCAAAACCCCAAATGAATGTTAGTTTATCTAGATGCCACCTAGTATTAACCAGCCGGCCCGGCTCCATATGACATGGGTGAAGTTGGAGGAACATACCCATCATGATAACAACGATGACACACCGTATAGGTGGCGGCCCGTGACTGAATGGGAGAATCCCATCTGGGGATAGGTTATGGTGAATTACATTAACAACAGCATGCAGTTCTTTCTGTGTAATGGCACATTCTACTATGAAGTGCGAGTCGCATCCCCACATAACCCTAACCATGGTGCAGTGGCTGGCGACAAATGGCTCCCGTTTCCACCGCCCAAACAAGACCCGAATGGGGAGCAGCTAAGCAAGCTAATCCAGTAGTTCACTAACCATCCTGATTATCTCCTCAACTTTATGGATATGGTCCAACTGGCAGTGGGGAAGGCGCGGTCAGTGCCTAGCACCTATAGTCAGTGCATGAACTCGTTGGTCAGGCGTCCGCTAGCGCTAGTTAACGCCGGCTTCTCGCTCAAGCTGGCGGAGAACGCCCGACAAAATCAGTCTATGGTGGGCCACCAGCACAATCAGCCGGACCCCATTACTCTCCTTCTGGTTGAGGGGCCCCAGCAGTACGAGTTTGCTGTGAAGCTGGGGGATCGGCAAAGGGCCCATGATGGCCTGGTGGGATATTTTAAGCCCAGCAAATCCCCCTATCTGAATGATAAGCTCAACCTTAGTAAGATCTACACGCCCCTTCTTGATACAAAGGCCGGTGATGAGACATGGGTGAAGCCCATCACCAGAAAGAGATTACTCTGGCTAAAACCATTCTGGTTAGACCCCGCTGCGGAACGCATAGATGACGATGATGATGCAGCCAGGAAATATATCCGCGCCTGAAATAATCAGCTCACCGTGCATGGCCTATTAGTGGATCCCTTTACCCCTGTGAAGGTATACTCTAGTATTCTTCCTGTGGAGCCCTTGGCATTAGTGCTGTAGACATGGGAATCAGCCCTGCAGAAAATGACGGCATTCTTTCACTTTGGGCCCTTGTTAGTGGAGGACGACGTGCTGAAATATAATATGTTTAGCAAGCTTAGTAAGGATTATAATCTTAAAGAGAATACACTAAAGGAGCAAGTTAAATTACCTTTATTAGCAGCGGCTGAATGGAGCTGGCTACAGCTGTATATAAACCAAGACACCAAAGTGACCAAGACTGGGGAGGAACTGGAGGAGTTCATGGCATTATCTTTGGGTAAAGTCAACTAGGAACCCCAATTTGGACCTAGTCTGTTGATGGCGCTGGAGGGGTATCTGCAGATGAAACAGCCTATTATGGCTCTGGTGCACAACTGATTCGGTGGCCCAGCAACGTGTTTTGTAGTAGAATTGACACATAGAATCATAGGATGTAACGTAGCTAAAGAATAAGTAAGTGCGTCCATAGAAATGCGAGGAAGTGAACTCAGGGTTGCCCAGCATACTTTGCTGATCATTCTCAATATCAAGTCACTCGGTAGTTAACTATGTAGTAGATTAGCTAGTGGTAAAAGTACCACAGCCTTGACCAATCCATCACATCTGTGCCTCGACAATGAGTTAGGTAGATCAACCCCTCCTGTATCTCTATCCCTGCATACCAGGGAGACAGTGTAGCAACTTACCAGCAACAGGATGTACCCCAGTTAAATAGTTATGCTCCTTCCATTAACTGTATCTTTCTTTCCTCTCTAAATCAAGTCCTTATGATTATGATAGTGAAATATCACTTTCTTATCACTTAGTAACTACTCCATTAGATCCTTGCCCCGGCCCTTGAGTCATCCAGCCAGAGAAATAGATCCATCATATTGTGCAACACAAGGCTAACGTGCCAGGATGGAAGAAGCAGCAACGAAATACCGGGTGGATTTGTTTTATATCTCTGTCCACCTGGGAGACTGCGCCATCCATCTTCTTGTGGAAAGTGGGAGAGAGACAAGGCAGAGTGAAGAGCGCTGTGCTTATTAATGGCGGGGACAGCCCAGGGGACAGGAAAACACAGAAAGATCTCAAGCTCAAGAATAAAATTCCAGCAAAAACCACGATTAACTGGATCAACGAAAATTACACCTTTGATACCGAGCCTGGGAAGAAACTGGGCGAGCTCAAGCTAGATGTGATTGTTGTTACCCATTAGGATACAGATCATTATAAAGGAGTTACCAACTTGCTTTGGGATGCCATTGAAAACCCAGAGGTAAAAATCCCATGGCTGAAATGGGATAAGCAGCAGCCTCTAACCCACTTTTATTGTCCTCTCAATAAAACTGAGAAGACACCCGAGCAACTCCAGGAACCCAAGGGCCACGGTTTAGCTAAAGGGTTAGACAGGGTGATGGAAACGGTAATGGTAAAGGTTAAAGAGGAAAATATGAAAAAAAAAAAAAGAATGTGTACTAGGTCACTGAATGCAAGATAGTGGGGATCAGAAAAGACCCCAAAAAAGAAGAAAAAGAAGAAGAAGCTTTTTATGAGTTTACCAGATTCCACAGCACAGATGAGGACCCCTGGGATGTGCTTGGGATGGATTTTTTTCTCAATGAGCTGGTGCTAGAAGGGTTAAGGAAGGCGGAAAAGCCATCACTTCCTTAACTCATTGAGGGGTACTCCCAAATGTATAAATAACTCAACGGATGCCCCAGACTCTATTACATCGGGGTAGCAGATAGGAATCTTTGCAAGAAACCTCTAAAATCCCTAATCATTCCTGATGACAGTGTCACAAGGACAAATCAATTCTCTATCACAGTGATTGTTGTCTGGCCTGCGGACCCTCCTAGAGTAACCCACTACTTTGCCGGTGACATGGGCCAGAGCAGGGAAGAGAAAATCCAGAACTGGATTTCAGATAGAGGCGTCCAGAAGATGACCAGTGTGAAGGTGAATCATCACAGATCCCATTTCTTGATGACAATAAATCTATTCAAAAGATTCAGTCCCCTCAATACCTTCGTTCCCAGCCCGATCAATGGCATGCACGGTCACCCGAGTACGTGGTTAATATACGATCCTAAGACTGGCACGATGCTAATCAATATCTTTCAGCCTGGCCTGTCCTGTTTACTTGGTATCTTTGGGCCAAAACACATACTAGCTCGACGGATAGACATCCTCGGTTAGTAGCAGCGACATTTCCGGCTGCCATCTCGCGAGACGAGAAAAACTGGTGCGGCCTGAAACACATCAGCGTGGACGCACTCAAAGTCGAGGAATTTCGAAGTCATATTGACTGTGAATTTAAGAAGCTTAATGCTGCCCTCAGTGAGAAAGGCGACCAGCAAGTGGGGAACCCAATAGAAGAAATACATGAGATGGAACAGGAAAGAAAGAGAAAGGAAAATGAAAAATTGAAGGAAATAAATGAAAAGGAGAAGGAAATAGCAAAGAAAGAACAGGAGAAAGATGGAGAGTGCATCCAAAAGAACCTCAGAACTCTCAAAAATGAGCTCAAAAACCTCCTATATGAGCTCGAGGCCCTCCAAGTCCTCAAAGCCGCCTTACGAGAAGTCATCGCCAACGTGATTGCTGCCATCTGGGAAGCATACTGCTTTCCCACGGGCGTATACTATCACATCCGTTCCTGTGGAGCCTACTCGGTAACCACCGGAGAGAGGACGTGGAAATCCTTGTTGTTCATCCGGATCCAATCCACTAACGATGATCACACCGACGGCCAGCTCCAAATTTATAATCTCGATTCTACGTCTGCGGTCGACCTTCCGCCAGGGAGTCTAACCCTTGCCAAACAAACTGGGAGGCTGGGTGTGATGGTAAGGCCTGCGACCTCACTAAAGCGCCAGTTATCTTCACCATCCTCTCCCAAAAAGCCAAAAAAACAAAAACGGAAGACTAGCGAGTCCGAATCGAGCGTTCCTCAGAACGACTCCTTTCAGAAGCGGGAAGTCGACTATGACATCCTGCCACATGTCCGTCTTCTATCCGATACGTTCTACATTCCGGATGAGACAAATCCAAATGAAATGGTTTTGGTACCTGGCGATGACGACCAAGTTGAGGAGCATGGCATAACGCCAGTCCTGTCTAGTGCTGCCACCCCTGTAAGCCAACCCAGCGAGTGGGAATTGCTAGAGCCGTCATCAATCCAGGCCACGTCCCCAGTGGAAGGCACAGCAGATGGATGGTGCATTTATACTGGGACTTTCACAGAGGCGGAAATCCGTGCCAAGGGTATCACTAATTTTGAACAGCTCCCCTTCAGGGTGCTAGACGACTTTATCTCAGGCCTACACTGCAGCGTGCTTTGGCTTGAGAGGAAATTGGTCTCCGAGAGCACAGTTCTTCTACATAATAAGGACAAGTAGTGATGTTGGTTCTGCGACGTCCTCAACACCAAGGAGCTGGCGGTCATCAAGGATGCTGCTGCCCCCGCAGTGGGGGGTTTCCAAATGCAGGTTTCTCTGGCGCCATTGGGGAAAGGACCCAGATCCAACACGCACTCCTTGCTGCAATTCACCACGGGATCGGTCCAGCAGATATTTAGATCAACAGAGAACATCTTCTCCAGCAGTCTACTAAAGGAATACAGCGCCCTTATCTTCAGACTTACCCCTTCCCTATCGTCTCAGATAATCTACCTGTGTGACCTATTCAAGTTTATAGGCTTGGAACATCTCCTGCAGAACTTACTCATTGCACTCTTAGCTTCAATAGCTTCACTAGCGATGAAGGTGCCCTCTACAGCAAGCGAATTGGAGGGAAAGAGAAATGCAGTCTGGTTCATCCCTAGTTACAACTATAATACCACCATCTAACTAGAGTGGGGATTGGATCCTAAAACTCACAAGGGACTAAACAGGCTTCTTAAGTAGCTCTAGCTGTCTGTCAAGGGCATAACCGTGATTGCCCAACAATCTAGCTTCTGGTTAACAAGTGGATCTGAGTCACAGATCATCTCTAACAGAAGTATAGTCTTTTAAACATCAATCAATATCGGCCAGATTGAACTAGAAGCTACCTTCAAATTCACCACCACTATAACCACCCTCACCCTGGCCTTGAATACCAGAATGGACCAGGCCCTACAGGGCGTGCTGGGTTGGATTAGTGAGGTGCTTGGATTTACTAATAGACATTTTGACTTTATTTCTCTCCAGGATAGATCTTTCAAGGGGACTAGCCTGGGCCAGTTTCACTTCCAGCACATGGTTGTCGAGTTGTTAAAAGATCCGGTAGGAGATAAACTCACTGTGTAAACATTCCAAATTAATATAGAAGTATACTTGAATCACAAAACTAGGCCGACCCTGTTCCTGCTTTCATATATTTACAAGCCGGGCAATGGCAGCTCAGTAGAAGTGAACCTCTAGTGTTGTGAGTATTTACCTATCTTTGCTTTTCACATTATTTCCTAAGAGCGCGTATTAAACCACCTGGACTATAGCTCCACCTTCACTCCCATAAGAAGATGAATGGCTTGTTCTCCCTAGCTACAAGAAATACCACAGTATGAGACTGGTATCCATTAACCCAGCAGTCTAGAAGAAATCATTGGACCTTGCAGCCTTAGCTAGGTTTGAGGATGTCCCAAGTTTCATTCCAACCCAGGTGCTAATGGCCCAGTTCCATGCTAATAATAATGGCATTTACTTCACCGGCATAATGAAGCCCAAGGCACTAACTAAGAAAGTGCCCACCTTCAGCATCCAGGAGGTGACTCTCAACATCTCCTATGCATGGTTGTCCCCAGCAACTCTGATGGACGCATCTAAATGAACATTCAACAGCAGCTTCACCATCAAGGCGCTTCTCCAGCAGCCAGCAGGAGCCCGGTTTGGCTAGCCTATGCAGCTTATCAGTGAGATTTCCTACTCTTCAAATCCCCCAAAATGGACGCTGTCGGGAACGGTGCAAGATCTGTATGCATTAATATTAGCCCAGTTCTTCAAAGACAATGAGTCTGTGCAGGCTGCGGTCCTCCCTATCCTTAAAAACATCTGCGTCGAATATCTCAACATGATATATTAGTATATTAAGAATGAAGCGTCTTCCTTCAACATTACCAGTACTCTGGCTGTTAGTAATCACCAGTTCACCCTTAGTTTTCAACATATGGGGTTGACTGACTAGAGCTTTGAGGCCACAGCTTACTCCAACCAAAACTGAAATGTTAAGTTAACTGTGCAGGACCTTATCACCAGTATTGCAGGCTCCAACATCAAGCTCCCAGACTTTGTATCCAACATCGAGATTGAAGTGAGCCAGGAAACCAAGATGGGTTTGGTAATCCATAAATCCAAGCCAGCTACCAGGGCAGCCAGCATGGTGATCCTGCTTACCATCAGCCTTGGCCAATTCACTGTCTGATACATCTAGTTCCGTGACATCATACCCAGTGCTGTTACTGCAGTCACCCCAACTTGGCGGGTGCTTATCATCTCAATGAGCGAGCTATGACGAGTGGAAATCCTGCTGGTTAGCAAGGTTAAATAGCCCTATAATGAGACATTGTTTATATAGGCTCTGAAAGGATTATCCAAGGCTATAGGTCTCTCAAAAGGCAAGCTAGACACCATTAATATAACTCTTGCGGAGCTTAATCAAATCCTGATACCCTATAAGGTTGTTAAAAAGGGAACACCCTCTACTGTAGATATCATCCTACTGCACGGCATGCATTTCATGCTGATGTGCAAGGTAACTATTAGCCACAATAATGTTGCCCTGGATTATGCATTCAATCAGCCTAAGAAAGCCACCTCCCCTGCTGAGGAAACTATGGACAACCCAGGCTCATCCATGGTGCTATATGAGCGTAGGCAAGGGCCCCTGTTAATCAAGAACATCAGGTTCAAGTATTCCACAGGATCCAGTGGCAAGGAATCCATCCTTTCTATCTATCTTAATATCTATGCAAAGATTAGGCGTGTCAAGTTTGCCCTACTTGGCCTCACAGTAGGCCTGAATTTCGCAGGCTCTTTAATAAATGGTCCATTAATACTTCACAATCTCCCTGCTCCAGAGGTCTCCCTCAAAGGACTGGAGGCGACATTTAATTAACCTCTAATTAAGATCGCTAGCATGCTGCAGTACAGAAATACTAAGAAGGAGAAGTTATTTACAGGTGCTCTCCTCATTAGTTATCTTTCTTAGTATTTTTAAGCGGCTGGATATTACGGTGATGTGAAAATTAAAAAGCCCAATGCAAATAATAGAATAAGGATCTTTTTCCTGTACTGCGTCTTACTAGGGCCCCTGATGACTTTTGAGTTTGCCACCATTAAGGGCGTCTGCGGTGGGTTTAGGTATAATTCCTCTCTGACCTTCCCCACCCTGAGAAGCATAGCCAAGTTCCCCTTAATAGCCAATCATGACCTGGCCCTTAGCGCCAGTAACTGCCCTAATAACACCCTTAAGAGCCTTCTCTCCACCCAGTGGTTCTTCCGCGAGGAAGGGTCCTTCTGGGTGGCTGCTGGACTGATGGTCAAGGTGTTTGAGATTCTCACCGTCCAGGCTGTCCTAGTCATGCAATGGAACCCTAAGGTGGAGATTGGGATCTTTAGTCTGGCCACCGCCAGTATTCCTGGAGGCAAAACAACAAAGAAATTCGCGCATGTCAAGCTAGGCGTGATCGCCACCCTCAGCTTCCGAACAGGAGTGCTGAAAATTGAAGGTGAGCTCACCCCAGGCTCATTCATCCTTAATCCTAGCTATCACCTACAGGGTGGATTCGCCCTTTATAGCTGGTTCGACAAAAAAGGTAAAAGTAAAGGCATCCAGGGTGACTAGGTCTTCACCATTGGGGGATTCTATCCCTTGTATGTCAGACCACCATAATATCCCAATCCCCCCCGCGTGGGGATAAGCTGGCAGTTTGAGAAGGCTATCAGCATATCTAGACAAGCTTACTTCGCCATCACGCCCAAGGTATGCATGGGGGGTGGTCATCTAGATATTATAATATTATTAAACCCTCTCTTCACCTACTTCAATGTATTTGTTGACTTTATAATTAACTTCAAGCTGTTCTACTTCATTGCAGAGGGCGGCCTTATTATTAGGGTCCAGTTTACACTCGACCTCTGGCTTGTCTGCAACAACATCAATGTCGAAATTGGTGCCAGGCTGTACATCAAGGGACTACCTATCCGCGGCCACCTCCACATCGACTTCTGGGTCTTTGGCTTCGACGTCAATTTTGGTGCAACTGGTTAAGCCAAGCCAGCAGCCCTCTCACTAGATGAGTTTATCAACCTGGTCTGTCAGACCTATAACTCTAGAATACTGTCTCTCTCCATTCTTCCCCCTCCAGCAGACTCCAAACTTAATAAGGCTCATGTCTTTGCCATCTAGGAAGGGCTGATTCCCACTAACCAGGCCAAATCCACGCCTAGTGGGGGTGACATGTGGAAGGTACAAGCAGCAAACTTTGAGTTCTTAGTCACCTCAAAATTTAGCTTTAATGAGGCTATTGTCACTACCCCTACCTCTGTGGGACATAAAAATGAAAATGTACTAAACGCAGAGGGTGAGATCTACGCGAAACCTATATATACTGAATTAGTGATCAAGTCCACCTTGTATATCAAGATCTCACCTGATGATCCTTACACATTTAATGAAGAGTTTTCTACCGAGCCACTGTGGAATAGGAACCAGAGCATCCATAAGGATATTCTGCGGGCATTATAGGGGCAATATATATTATCCTTTCTTCCTCCCTTCCTCCTTTTTACTTTTCTTTTCTGTTTTTCCCCCTTCCCTTTTCCCCCTTCATCACGTTCTCTCCGCATGATTTACACTCTTAGATCTGATAGGGCTGACTAAATGGCCAGATGACCCTTCCTCAGACCCGTCAGTGACCAGAAACCCATCTGCTCTCCTTGACGGAACTGAGAAAAAAACAGTTAATCTGGCAATGGGCATGCATCTCAGGCAACCTTCTCCTTTGCAGTCCAGGGACAGGACCGTCCCGTTCGACGTGGAAGCTTTCCAGATCCAAACTCTGCACAGCGAAAAACAAATAGCGCTCCCAAATAAGCCCACTGCTGCGTTTGAACCTGTCCAACCGCGGGGAAACCAATGGGACGAGCTCAAGAAGGTGTTCGGCGAAAAGGAAGAGTCAGCAACGCTAACTGTTAATCTTTGGAAGTCGCTCGGGCTGGCGAAACTTGGATGGACCGAGAAGAAGATCACGACTGCTGCAGGCGGTTTAAGCGGGGCTAAACCAACAAAAATTGTGAAAGATTTGCCAAAGTACTATCCGCACCCGCCTATGCTGAGTGGGAAATAGGGAGTGCGTTGCATGTTGTTCCCTTACTTTGGACTTCACAAGCCTGAGTAATTTAATTTCCTTTAATACAGTACTCATTTATCATGTTCGGAACATTAGGCAGATTGCTACAGCTGTTGTTGAAAAGCAGCTCGCCCAATGATATATTCACCTTAAGGCATGGCATTGGGTAGGAAAAGAATCATCATATATTTGTGGTCAAACCAACTCTTTGAACGGTGGACGGACAGCAGCCTCCTACGGCACCAGGGCCACTGCCGCCTGCGGCCATGGTCGTATTGTGACCGTCAATTCCCATTTCCAACCAGCGCGTCTGTCCCTACTGTTGCCCACCGGGACGTCTGACCCTGAGAGTCTGCGGAATATTCTGTTCTTCTCATCCAGCGGCATCTGATGATGCCCATCATCAATGGCAGACCCACAAGGTAATTAATCAACCCTAGTATGCCTCTTAGGATCAGCTGCGCTGAGTAGTTTTACTAAGGAAACCAAGTGCCACACTAGCTGTACAGGTTCGCCTTCTAGTATCTAATTGAATGGGGCCACTAATTGACTACTAGCTGGTAGAATTCCTGCCAGAGTGCTGTTAACGCACCAACACAGCCGCAATATTGTAAGGCGGATGTAAGAGGCAAAACGAAGGGAACCATCGATCAACAGTGGATCCTGGAGCATTCCTGAGGAATTGAGAAATGATTATCAACACAGATTTTTCGCAGACAGACTGCGCAATAATAACTACATGGGTTGTAAATTTATGTCAACAGGAACCTACCTTTTTAATACTCAATTTAAACGTGTTCAGCAGATTGAAAGGGTGTAATTGTAGATAAGACGGACTTTAACTTTTTAGAGAATAGTCAAAACTATCTTTAGTTAACGTAATTCCCGGGCGAGCGAAACACCCGACCGAGCGGAACACCCCTCATCGAATTTCAATGCCTTTGCACCTTTGAAGCTATCAAAATCAACCAAAACAATATATTTTTACTAGATCTAGCTAGTATGGCGTGTAGGGCATCTAGTTCTAATATGCCCTACAATGAAGCAATTTGTACACCTTGGTGGCGCGCGTTTTGGTGGTTCTAAAGGTAGAGGTGTAGAATCAATGGATGCCCCCCCAATCTCATCTTGCTCATTTCTTGCCTGGATAAGATCCCTAGCTTCCCGGATGGAGAGTCCTTTATTAGGAGTCATCTGGCGTCTAGATTGCTTCCTTTTCTGCTTCTCTTTCTCATTGTCTGCGCGTAGATCATGGTTCTCCTTTGCTAGTAGGGCCGCACTGTGCATAGCCATCTCGCAACCTTTGATAAGCTGTTGTATAGCTAATTTTGAAGGCGTCAAAGGGCTTTGAGAGCGTTGTTTTAGGAGCTTCTTAACTGAGGATGCTTGCTTGCGTAATTGCCGAAGTGTATGAGGCGTAGCAAGCCAAGATGAGTTGGTTGATGCACGGCTTGGAGGGGGGGTAGGGGTTGAGATATGGATATTTAGCTTCTCAAGCACCCTCTCTGGCTTCAAAGGGTGGATTCCAGCTGCCGCGAAGCCATTTTGGATATTTAGAGGTGTAAATACCTCTAGATGAGCTGCTGGATATGCTTTAAGGAAGTCAAACTTATCAATATGGTTGTATCCTAAGCGCATCTTTTGCTCAACAAGGCCTCCGTAAGCACGCTTTAAAGGGCCAAAACAACCAACATCTAGTGGTTGCAAGAGATGAGAAGAATGAGCAGGCATGCAGATAGCAATAATATTATTATCCCTGCAGGCTTTGTCAAAGCCAGGCGTTAGATGGCTTCCGTGGCCGTCTAAGATGAGAAGACGATATCTTCCAACTGTACGGCTAGTTGTTGCAGGGATAAAGACCTTTTGAAGCCATCGAAGGCCTATCTCATCTGTTGTCCATCCATTTTGACTGACTTCGATTCTCCAATCAGGTGGTAAGGCCTGATCTTGATACCATCCCTCGATATGAACCTTCCCCTTGAAGATTATACAAGAAGGAAGCACCCAGCCTGTGGTATTAACACATTCAATTGTTGTAACCCATTCCCGATTGCCTGGCTGAATGAGATAAGGCTTTCCAGGCATATTAGCTCTTGTTACTACCTTAGTAGTCGCAATCAAGCCCATTGCGAAGCCCGTTTCATCAAAGTTGTAGATATCTTCGTAGGAGATGCCATATTGCATTTGGATCTGTTGTAGGCAGTCAAACCACCCTTTAATAATCTTTGGATCCTCGCATTGAGCTCGACTATAGTTATACCGTCGTGCATATCGTGTTTTAATCTCGTCACGTCGTTTAATGAAGGTAGATACCCAGTTCTTGCCGACAGGTTTGAATCCAGAGAGATCGTCTGCTTGGAGAAGGATATTGGCCATTTCCTGCACATGAGATGGCCTAGGGGGCACGCCGCGTAGATCCCTAGATAGTATCCATTCCACTAATGATTCTTCCTGTGTAGGAGATAGCCGGTAGCCATTGGCACGTTTTTTAATTCGATATTGGCGTCCATTCAGTCGGCCGTAGAGGGTAGAAAGAGGAACATCAAATATATCTGCAGCGCGGCGAATGCTTGAAATTTCATTCTTTTTTATAGCAGATATTGCTAATTGAAGCCTTCCCTCTTGCTCCACCAATTTTTGAGAGATGCGACGCGGTTTTGATGGCATGGTAGTGGTGTAGATAGAATCAATATTCAAACGCGTTGAAATTCGATGAGGGGTGTTCCGCTCGGTCGGGTGTTTCGCTCGCCCGGGAATTACGTTATCTAGTTATTCTTACTAAATGGCCCTTCAAGCTTTCCTGCCAATGCGCTAGTCCGGACATGGACTGCATCATGTAGTATCCGTGCCTTCGCGCCCCTCACCGCTTCCGTTTCCCAGTGTACCGAGCCAAATGCTGCCGTTATAGGCCCTTGGAAGCCTGTCGCGACACATCCGCCTTTAGTCCGTGCGGCTACGTTTTCAAAGCAGAACAGGACCACCGGTAAGAGATACCACGAGAACAACCCTTTTCTCATATCATTCAGCATTGCTAGGCCACTTGTCAGCCAAACGGAATTGAGGTTTGAATTGTTTCCATATGGAATTAACGGCAGAATGCTTCCGGCGAAAAGGATGTTCGAGATCCTGAAAGAACGTTCCTTTAGGCTTCAGGAGTTGCGCATCAACAATTAGCACCTGTTCCTGCCAATCACTTTCGGGCTTCAGACCATTGTCCGAAAGCGGAAGCTGACTTGTTCGGATGTGACAAGGCGATGACTGCTATATATCCAGATTAAATGGCTGGCATCCTTCAAGACTTTGATATCTCAACAACCGCATCTACAGGGACCAATTCCGGGCGCGAAGTATATTAGTCGTATACTTATGATCTATAGCCTCATCGCGTAAGTATACACTTAGCTAACATAAAATACGCCTGTAATTTTGGTAATTTTAAGTTCTAGACATTGAGAGGGACAAACAATATTTTAGCATCCTGCAAAAGTGAATTTATATGCCTCAGCCATATACTTTCGAAATATCTTACTTAGATAATAGCATATGTGACTATAGTTGAGATAACAAGCCTTGACAATTTCCTTTTGTATGGAATACTATTGAATTATATGACCGCTTGCCCGATTAGGAAGACTACGAATTGACGCAGCACTGCCACCCTTGGCAGAATATTCGATAGCATTCGATCATTCGAATAGCTTCAAATTCCACCGCTATCGAGAGGGATAAATAGTAGCTAGATAGTCATTCGTTTAGAAGACTAGACCTTCATTGATTTTCAATTGGCCATATAAATTACTAGTGATCCATGAACGTTACTAGCTTAGCGATTTCAACAGTTATGAGCCCGGCCTGCCCTTAAGAGACGCACGGAATTAATTGATTTGGAAGCATTCTTCTAGGCATTGCATGTTAGAGAGCTCTGTCTCAGGCATTAGAGAGATATCTCATTGGAATTAACTTGCCTAATTCAGAAGAATTAAGGTTATATTGACACCGCTGTCACCCCTGAGTTAAATGCTGAAATGGATTACTACACAGAACTAATATAATCCACCAGGAAGGTCTCCATCGTGCTAGATACACCTGATGATTGGTGGAATTGGGATGCGCACATATGAGGCCTAGCCATAATATATAGAATACTGGATATCTTGCTCCAGAAGACACCACGCCCTATAAAACTAATTCATCCTGATAATCTGGAATTTGAATTGACTAATCAGAATGCTGCACCAAGCAACTAAATAATGGTAGTGAGATCTGAGTCTTTGAATGATCAAGATGAGTAAGATACATGAGAATAAGTAAACTAACCAGCAGAGAGAGATACACACCTACTATAAGTAAGCTAATTAGCTGCGGCAGCTCTTGATCTAAGAACCTTATATGAACATTAAGTGAGCCACTAGAAGAGATAATATAAGGAATGGGAGAAAGTAGAGTATGGCCTAGTAGCTATCTAGTAAGAAATAGAGTAAATAGTTGCGTAGAGACACCTCAGGCAGCTGACTAGCTAATTAGATAACACTATTAAGAGGTATTCAAAGTTAAAAGCCAAGATGGAGCTGAGTAAGGAAGATCTGATATTATATATAATAGTAAGGTATAATTGACTCCTATTAAAACTAGCTAATCAGAATGTTAATATATGGTTAGGAGAATGGGAAGACATAATAAGTGAATATAATTATCTTAGAATGACTAACCTTATGTTACGACACTAACGCCGCAAGGCGGATGCAACCAGCAGAATTACAGAATAATGACAACCAACCAATCCTCAACCACCAGGATGGTGAGAAGGCCACGGTTTCTAGCACAAAGGCTATATATAAACTATGTCCTTTCCATTGTCACCCAGTTTTATACCATAGTGTTTGGATGACATGCTACTAAAAGGCTGAAAGCTACTAAATAAAGCATAACCTAACTATAATCATCACATGACCATCAGTATAGCATTACTATAAGAATATAGCAGCAATCTAATACTT